GCAGGCAATAAATTCGTTTTCACTGAACTCGTTCGTATTCCCCGCAGTGGAGCTCCGTGAGTCGTTCCATCGTGTGAATCAATGATTAAAACACTGTTTACGTGGGATAGTATTTTATTTTATCAGTTATTTGTCAGAGCTATTTCAGGAGACAAATTATGCTATTTTATTAAAGTTACAATGATGTTTTGGACAAATTTTCTGCCGCGAAATCACATTAATTCTGAAGATTCACATGTTTTTACAATCGTGGTTCAAGTCTTCCAGAGAGTTCCAGTTAAAACTTAAAATTGCGAATTTAATGAGTTGCAAATTAGGCATTAGTTACGCTACTGGGAGTTCCTTTAATATATTCGGGTAAAAATCTTGCGGCTTTTAAGCGCGATTAACACTTTTGACTGTTTGCAGCCGTACAAGAAGCTACGGCTTCGGCTTTGTCCTTAGTTACATCTTTTCATGCAAAGCGTTTCCATTTTAATATTTCGTGATATTTTTTTCTCGTGTCGTGGATAACTCATAAAGATCTCACTACTTGTTTCATACCTCAAGCTATGCTAAGGAAGGCGATCAGTTGGACGTTGATACGACTTTTTCATTTTAAACTTATCACCCGGGTCGCAAGAAGGATATCAAATATATTTACCCGTCAATAACCTCATGCGGAGGTCCGACAAATGTTGTATATAAAAATATTCAATTTAAAATCGTGTTCAAATTTTCAATAGTTAAAGTATATAGACACATAAAAATAATATAAGATCACACGGTAATTTAAGGAAAATAAACCAAATCCATTTTACAGTCATCAGTACGTTCTCAACACGTGGCAACATTCAAGAATTTGGTTGTGCCGAGCCGAGGGATTTTAATAATAATAATAACAATTTTATTTAAAGAGGGTAAAAACACTTTACAGTTAGAGACTGAAAAACTAGTGGCTCTCGATGCTAATTAATCTAATTACAATCGATTTCGAAATGCAGAGTTTGACCTCGGATTTGTTAGCCTGTTCCAGGCTCTCGGATAGTGGGGACGAAGCGGACGAAGCGAAAAGGCGAACGGCCGCGCGAAGGTAGTCTGGGAGAGAAAAACTCTCTCCCAGACTACCTTCGCGCGGCCGTTCGCCTTTTCGCTTTGTCCCCACTAACCGAGAGCCTGTTCCAGGCTACGGATTTGTATGCATGTAGTTGCTATCAGGAAGGGGGGGGGGGGGGGGGGGGGGGGGGGGGAGGGGGATAGAGACAGGGCCTGGGACCGAGAAACCGTGCTCTCACAACTTGCAAAGCGATCAATTTAGTTTTGGTCAGCGGTGTGCTTCTATTCGCGCGCGAAATTCCTTAAAAATGAATTAACGTTCCTATAAACTATTTCGCGATTATTCCAACACGTTCAATTTGTCCAATGTGGCTGAACTTTCCAGGAGCTGAATTCGTGAGTTCAAGTCCAGATAGAGACCGTGGCTAGCCACGCCCCTCAATCTGCTAAAAATAAAAAAAAATAAAAACATTAAAATAGAACATAAATACATGCACACTGGGCAGATGTTGTTCTGTTGTTTTTAACTAAAATATATTATATATTGGCTGACACTGAGGAGGCACTCAGGCTCCACCCTTCAATCATCCTGGATTCACCCCTGTATAAGTATTTCTGCTGGTAAATGCGTGTGTAAAAGTTTTTCCACTGACCAGTAATCAATGACAGACAACTGCAATTTCATTCTTGCATTTTAATGATTTCATTCTACATACTCAGTACTACAGTGAAAATGACAGTCGAAAGTCCTTTAGTTTCCTGCCGCTACCGCTACTGCAAGAACTCTGACATGATTGTCTAAAATAAGATAAAAACAAAACGAAATCAATGGTAAAATACTAATTTGAAAGTTAGCCTAGTGCAGGAGCCCATTACCGGAGTGAGTAACTGTATAAATAAATTCGTGAAACAGTGTTTTGCAGACTGGTTTATTTTTTGACTCGCTTTTTTCGCGAATTCGCATTCTCGCTAGACAATCAAAAGTTTTTTCTTTTCTTTGCGTAACAAAGGCCTCAATTAGGTCGCCATCTTTTTCTTTTCTTTTAAGCCTGGTTTTCATTTGTCGGGGAAATCCCAGACCATCGGGGATTTTGTTATTTCCCGACCGTCCCAGACATTCCCGACTTATGAAAACACAAGGAGGTAGATGTCTCCCATTGTCTTTCTGAGTCGGGAATGTCTGGGACGGTCGGGAAATAACAAAATCCCCGATGGTCTGGGATTTTCCCGACATATGAAAACCAGGCTTTATTTCATATCATATTACTCATGGGATCAGAAATCATATTTTCCCGGGAAAAGGGAATCTAAAAATAAACCGCGGTCTGTAAAAACGATGAGGCGTAATATGTGAGTTTCTCGCTCCGGGTTATGGGCTCCTCAGTGCCTAGTACGACTAATTTTGATTAAAATTAATTAAGGCCTGATAGAACCCACACTATTGGGGTGTCTGTCTTCCCAAGCCCAGGAAATACCAGTAACCCAGCAATTCCAGTGAAAGAAACGTTCATTTCTCCGTGTATATGTATGTATGTAGTATGTATGTATGTATGTATGTATGTATACAAAGAAGATGATTACTAGACTTATAAAATATGCGAAAAAAAAAAATGATAAGTCACCATGCTCGTTTACGAGAAAACGATCATTTACCTCTCTGGCGAGCATAGCCACATTGAAAAAGATTCTTTTAATGTGCGCATTACGCGCAGAAAGGATGCGCAGAAAGCTTACACAGTACAATACTAAGGAATCACCTTAAGACAGTGGGTCGTCGAGAAAAATAGAAACATTCTCCGTGTTGTGGCTTTAATCGAGTGATAGGTTTAAATAACACAATAAACCGTTGTTTCACTTACAGGCCGTACCTTGGTCTTTAATCGTGGCAATAAAAGCCCATTTTTATGCACAACCTGCCCAAAACATAACTCAACATAAGTAAATGAAGTTGACCGAGCGTACGAGACATCAATCTCGTACCCAGAGTCCACGGTCTCTTTGGTCAGCAGTTGGACGACGACCAACTGCTGACCGAGGAAATAGTGGACTCTGGGTACGAGATTGACGAGACATAGGCTCGGAACATCCCTGGAACGACAATGGCCTTTGTCAACCATCTCTTGCAAGCATACAATGTGTAATACACGCATATTATGCTAGATGATACGCGCATGTTGGTGTCAATCTACTAATTTTTAACTTCAAATTCTAATTTTAAAACTACATTAAATCTTCAATATTTCTCATTTCCCTAAATTTTTCAACTCCTTTGAGAAAAACTATTTCCTCCCAAACATACCCAAAAATCACCCAAAACATGGATTAATGGGATGAGCATAGAGTTTTTGGATTGCTTGAAACGTGAACGAGATATTTCCATTTAACCCATGTTAATTCTCGGAAAAATGGCATTCAGGTTAAGTCCCCCCCCCCCCCCCCGGGGGAAAAAATGCATCGAATGATCGAATGATAATTACCATGACTCGTCCTTGCATTCCGAACACATGCACTTCAACTCGCCATCTGTTTTTGGAACCTTTATCCTATAGGTATAAGGCTTGGGGCACATCGTAGCCCTGCACAATTTCCAACACTGATCTGGATCTATTGAGCAAACAGAAAATTGTGCAAACTGCCCCTAGTACATCTAACTGGATTTGCAAGAACGTGACCGCAGAAAATTGCACCATTTTGACCATTTTGACCTTTTTGGCGCTTTTTTTTTTTAGACGATACAATAAGACGAGGTGTGCCAGTTCTTTTTTCTCTCTTCCCTCTCTTCTTTCTCCTTTTCGCTCTTCTCTGGAGTGGTTTCAAGTCTTATTGGAGTGATAAAACTGGACTTTTGGCGTTGTTGCCGTAAAAATGCTGAAATTTTCGCGAGCCACGTTCTTGCAAATTCTTTAATAGTTTTATTAAAAATACTGAATATATAAATCGATTTTCAAGGTTGACTGATTGACAAAAACTGATGCTAACGTCGACATCGGCTCAGGCTGAAATCTAGTTAAGAACACAATGCTTTTTTATTGTTCCTCGCGTAACTTTTTGAACATCGTAAGCTCAATTATCGCCAAAAAGATAAGAATGTTCAGTTTCCGCGGTTCAGCCTCAGTTCAAAATTTATATTATATCTTGTTATAAAAGAGAGTGCAGTTGATCAGACCGTATATGTAATTGTTTAGGTGGTCGATTATGACCTATTATGGGATCGAGGTTTGACTGATTTTAGTTAAGGTGGCTCGTAACGGTTTACAGCCCTTGTACTGTGCTTTGATGGATCGATACTACCATGCACCCTATATCAGTTGATGCAAAAATAATGGTATGAAACGAATGCCCAATCATCGGTGAACAAGTTATGATCATTGTAGAGCCACAATTCAGTAAACGAACTTGACTTTAATTCTACTTCACACACGACACACACTCAAATACATTACACTTATATACACCAGTAACAATAACTCCAACATGATTGGACGTATATTCGCATCTCACGTGCATAGCTGAACACTACAATCATCTTCTTGATAAAAAGGTTACCATAGCAACATTATAACCTGTCAAAACACCCTTAATTATTTTAGCTTTAAGTGCATATAACTAAAAAATGAGCTCGGTGACCCCCATTTTTTTTATTATAATGAATAATAATCAACATGTAAAGATACAATTTTTTTCAAAGTTTAAAAAAATTCTCCGGAGGGGGTTCAGAGCCACCATAAAATTTCAAAATTTTAACTTGGCTATGAGCTCCCTCCATCAAAGCACAAATGCTGTAAATCGTTACCAGCTACCTTAAATCATATAGGGAAATTAGAAAATTAACTCTGTACTGCGAAAGGTACAATAAAAGTTGAGTCACATTTTAGAGAGCTTGCTCGCAGGTCGAGATCGCAGGCTAGTTTCATCCACATTGCCGCGACGATTACTACCTCAGTTTCCACAACCTGTTCCCGCCTGGCTTCGCAGCTTAGTCGGGCAGACTAACAGTGATCCTGAATACGGTGGTTGTGGGTTTGAATCCCACCGAAGTCAAATAAGTTCTTTTCCTCGTGTGGTCGACCTTATGTCCTTACTAGGCTAGCGCTCAGTAGGAAAGTTATGAGTTCACTGCAGCATTTTAAATTTTCATTACAGAGTTGTAATTGTCTGATTTCCTATTTGTATCATAAGTGCTGCACGGCCCAACATTCAAAACATTTACTTTAATCATAATCAGATAGATCACCAGGGCCCGGTTGTTCGAAAGCCGATTAACGCTAATCCCAGATTCAATCGGCGAGGTTTCGATTTCTCTTGTATAAAAGTGTTTTTCACTGAAAATGTTTTGTAGAGTTTTAGATTACTCAAAGTCAAAACTGGAGGACAAAAAATATAAACAAAAAACCTCACTGAAAAGTTTCAAAACCGAAATCAATAATCACACTAATCCTGGATTAGCTTAACCGTCCTTTGAACAACCGGGCCAAGATCTTTTCAGATTTTTTATTTGTATGGCAAGGGTACAATAAACTAAAGTTGTTGTTGTTAAACAATCATTTTTTTAAAATAAATTAAAATGCAAGGCTGATCTAAGAGCTGAAATTAGGTACAATATTTCGGTTCAGAACAAAACTAACCTTCAGCTCCAATAACTGACATCACAGCGACGAAAATCGCCATCAAAATAATGAACGCCATTTTAATCTTAAGAACTGAGAAATATAAAGAGTGGTTAGTAAAACCTATGAGGTTATTCAGAGAAAAGTTGTGTAATACGGCTGGGTATTTTTACGAGTCAGTTTTTATTTTTTCGAGCCTTTAGGCGAGAAGAAATAAACATTGACAAATTTCTGCTGAATAAATTGTTTATTATACGACATAATTATAAAAAAAGTAACGTGTACGATCTCTTTAAAGAACTCTAAACTTGAAAATTAGGGAAAGCCAACTCGGGAGGCCCAAATCCTAATTAAAGGCTCGTGCAATTTTAAGAACTTTCAATCGCGCCATTCATGGGATCTGGCGAAAATTGTACTCGCATTATTTTCATGCGATTTTCTATACTTATAACTGGGACTCACTATATTTTAAAAGGAGGAAAGTTATAAAAGGAGGAATACTCAGTATTCCACACTAATCATGATTACTTCAGTTCCCCCAATCATAAAAAATACAGCTAAACAGCGTCGTGAAACTCAGCGTTCCCGGGATATGGAATCAGAATAAGGAACTTTAAAGTAGAAAACCTGAATGCCGACCTAGCAACTCAATAATCAGTTACACTTTAACGCGATCTACATCAGTTTTCAAATCAAGGAAAGTTTAATTTCTACATCAGTCAATTCTATATTAAATTACGTTTTAAAAATGTGTCCCAAAATTTCCCAACTTTCATCTTTTTTCTTTCACTTGTTTCTTTGTTATAATTTTACACAAAATGTAGGCCGAATGTTCACCACGATGCGACGGTTTTCGCTCCTGGGTCAAGAGTGTATAGCTCTACCTTACAAATGTTTTTTTTTTATAACTAAGCTCGTACCATAGATTTAATTGAATAGCTTGTTTTAAAGTTAGTGAATATAAATGCTCGTGTCAAGAAACGTGCGTGCATTTACCTGATACTGCAATATCTCTGAGATTCGTTTTCCGCTGTATATACGTCGTAAACACTGAAGGAAGTGAGCATTATTCATAACACGCAGGCAATAAATTCGTTTTCACTGAACCCGCCGTTCGTATTCCCCGCAGTGGAGCTCCGTGAGTCGTTCCATCGTGTGAATCAATGATTAAAACACTGTTTACGTGGGATAGTATTTTATTTTATCAGTTATTTGTCAGAGCTATTTCAGGAGACAAATTATGCTATTTTATTAAAGTTACAATGATGTTTTGGACAAATTTTCTGCCGCGAAATCACATTAATTCTGAAGATTCACATGTTTTTACAATCGTGTTCAAGTCTTCCAGAGAGTTCTAGTTAAAACAGGCTTTAAAACTTAAAATTGCGAATTTAATGAGTCGTTTATAATTCTTTCAAATTAGGCATTAATTGTGTTATTGGGACTTCCTTTAATATATTCGGGTAAAAAACTTGCCGCTTTTAAGCGCGATTAACACTTTTGTCTGTCTGCAGCAGTGCAGGAAGCTGAGCTAAGCTACGGCTTTGTCCTTAGTTACATCTTTTCATGCAAAGCGTTTAGTTTAATATTTGTATTGCTCGTGTCGTGGATAACTCATAAAGATGTCACTACTTGTTTCGTACCTCAAGCTATGCTAAGGAAGGCGATCAGTTGGACGTTGATACAACTTTTTCATTTTAAACTTATCACCCGGGTCGCAAGAAGGATATCAAATATATTTACCCATCAATAACCTCATGCGGAGGTCCGACAAATGTTGTATAAATATTCATTTTAAAATCATGTTCAAATTTCCAATAGTTAATGTATATAGATACATAAAAATAACTAAGATCACGCAATTTAAGGAAAATAAACCAAATACATTTTACAGTCATCAGTACGTTCTCGATACGTGGCAACATTCAAGAATTTGGTTGTGCCGAGCCGAGGGATTTTAATAATAATAATAATAACAACTTTATTTAAAGAGGGTAAAAACCGAGTAAAAACACTTTACAGTTAGAGACTGAAAAACTAGTGGCTCTCGATGCTAATTAATCTAATTACAATCGATTTCGAAATGCAGAGTTTGACCTCGAATTTGTATGCATATAGTTGCTTTATCTTAATATGCTAAATTAGTTTTTTTGTTTATTTTTTCCGGTCTTACTAACATCATTATTGAATTTTTTTCCTTCCTTTTTTTAATTTGAACGAGCAATGACTGGACATAATTGAAGAGTGTTGTTTAATAATTGTTTAAAGTCTTTAAACGCATCACGGTCAAACAGCTTCAACAGAAATTCAGCATTTGTTGAGAACATTGTTGTCTTATAGACATAGATGTACACACGATCCCGAGAATTCTTCAATCCGGGCTTCAACCGTTGTCGATACATGAGAGAGACCTGGGATGAGTGAGAACCAGACTCCTCTCATTCTCGTTCCCAGAGCCTCCGTTTCTTTTGGTCACGTGATCGGCGAAAGACCAAAAGAAACGGGGGCACTGGGGACGAGACTCCAATGTGCAACTTTCTTCCTTTTTCGGCACATGCGCATATTACGCATATTAAAATCATACTGAACAGTAAAAATGTCAAAAATAGATTGTACCAGAGAGTTTGATAGAATTTAACTTTCTCAACATGCTTTTAACATCTTTCATTATCGAAGGACCATGTCAAACGAGTTTCAACAAATGACGTATTGGTGTTAAATCAAAGTGTCTGTGTTTGAGTCTCGTTCCAAGAGCCCTCGTTACCCTTATCCAGCGGAACGGGAAACGAGATACTCTGGGATAAAGCGTTCCGCCATGACATGCGCAGTACTGAAACAAGAAGTCCAAGAGTCCTCTGTGCGTCCTTTTGAGACATGGAGTCGAACATGGAGTCGAATGTGGAGTCTTAAATTCCACAAAGCTGTTCAATTTTCTTTAGAGAAAATTGAAAATGAGCAGTTCAAAGGGACGCACATATGCGCAGTAAAACCGGAAGTCCAAGAATACTAGTACTGTCATGGTGGAACGCTTTATCACAGTGAGTATCTCGTTACCCATTCCACCGCTGGATAAGGGTAACGAGGGCTCTGGAACGAGATTGTGTTTGATATAAGGCCTTAACTTAGTGAACAAATGTCCCGAGTCTCTTCGCGCGCGCTCATTTCTTGCCCCGCTCGAGAGATGTCTGAGATATTCGAAACCGTTTTCCCCTCACAACAGTCTAACAAGTGAAAACTGACTCTGACAACAATGGAGCTCGTTTATCAGACAGGTCAGGCACTCCAATGAAGACATTTAATGTTTACATTTAATAACTTTTAGCAGCGGATACAACAACAACAGCAAGCAAGAAATAACATAACAATGAATGCGTCGTGTCAGACACGAACTTTGGGTATGATTATTAGATTCTTTAATAATATGTCCATTTATTTGCCTCTGGGAAGATAACAGTGCTCTGCGTAGTTCCTCTGGTACGTGCTGCAAGATGAAAGAAGATCAAGAATTTGTTGGCTTTATTTTATAAAAAATTACCGCGTCTTGCCTACATATCCTGTGATGCCACGAGAGAAAGTTTGGAAGAATTCGCCGCAGGCCTGCAGTGCTGCTCGGGGTACATAATTTTTCGAATTCTCTCAAACCTTTTTCGTGGCATCAAGATATGTAACCACATGCGCGCCGTATTAGGACCTATTAGACTGGTACCAACAAGATTTAAATACACACAATTTTTTTTGGGTGCATTGTGTTGGATGAGGATTGTTTGTCAGCTTTGCTCCCACACTCACCTATATATGCTAAGCGTTGCAGTCAGCGACATGACAGTTTACTCAACGTAGTAAGTTTCACTGTTCTCGTACAAATCTGGCTCAAAGAGTTCATTGTCATCTATTCCATAACTAGAATGAAGAAAAAAAATCAGTAGAAATTAAACAGAGCAAGCATGGTAACCTTTGATATAGGACTCTTGAAATAGCGCTATATAAATTATTAAATTATTATTATTATTATTACTCTGATTGAGTACCTATGATCGCTACAGTGCTACCACCTCGTTCCCAGGGTCTCTCTTCCCTTGCCCGGGAGAAGAGAGACCCTGGGAACACGAGGTTGCAATGACACACACGCCTCGGCCTTCATAGGGAAGAGCGATAGCCCAAGGGGGAGAGGGGTGCTATATAGGTGTGTCGTTGGACATGGTATGGTTTTCTGGAAGATAGTTTATAAACCTCTCTGATTTGGCTTGGAACAGACTATCATTTTCCGGGATCAGGTCTAAGAAAAAACAATCATATTTTGGTCTGAAATAGGTTCAGTTGTTTGAGGCACTTCACCTAGAGGAGTATCCCGGGGCTTCTGCAGTAAGACGGGACAGGAAAAGGCTGGTTTACACGTACGATGCAAGCGCATAAACATAAAACACGTAAAGTAGT